AAAACTAAAAAAAAATAAAATATTAAAATTCTCTCTCTAAAAAAAAAAAAGAGAGAGAGAGAGTCTAACTATTCATCAAGAACTCTAAGAATAGTAGGTCAACTTCTTCAAAGCATTAAGGTCCTAAAATTTAAAAAAAAAAAAAACTATTTCTCTGATATCTTTCTCAAAATTAAAGCTTTAAAATTTCTTGGCTGTTCAGCAAATGCTTCCAGCATCAAGGCAATCCTATCTGGAGCGATTCTCTATAATATGGTGCTGCAACCAATACAGTAAACAAAAATGGTAGAATCATCTTGCTGTGGTTTAATGATAGTGCTTGATATGGTCTGAAGTTTTGTGTGTCCCCAAAATTTCATGTTGAAATCTAACCCAAACAGTGATGGTATTAAAAAGTGGGGCTTTTGGGGATTGATTAGGTATGAGGGCTCTGACCTTATAAATGGCACTTGGACCCTTGTAAAAGAAGCTTGAGGCAGCCAATTTGTCCCTTGTACCACTTGAGGACAACAATAGAAGGCACTATTTATGAAGCAAAGAGAAGACTTCACTGGACATCAAATGTGCTGATGTCTTGATCTTAGATTTCCTAGCCTCCAGAACTGTGGTAAGTAAATTTCTGCTTTTAAAATAAACTACCTAGTCCAAGATGTTTTGCTACAATAAACCAAATACACTGAGACAGGGACCATGGCATTCCTAGGAAACAAGGACACTAACAAAAAGTTACATTTTTTACATTTTTGTTTTATTTTGTTGTGTTGTGTTTTGAGATAGGGATTCACTATGTAGTCCAAACTGACCTTGAACTTCTGGCTCAGTTATCCTCCCACCTGTTTCCCAAATTGCTGGGACTAAAAACACAAACCACTGGGCCCACATCATAAAAAGTTTTTATTTCTCAAGAGCAGACATGTATTACTCCAGGAGAACTGAAGACTGAGTAGGGGACAAAATTGTGAAAAGCAACTCAGATGAACCTTGAAAACATTACACTATGTGAAAGGTGCCGGAAATAAAGTCCACAAAAAGAATGATTCCATTAATATCCAGAATAGGGAAATCCACAGAAACACAAAGAGATTAGTGGTTGCTTAAGGGTGAAGGGTGGGAACGGGAAGAATCAGGGGATTGGTGATGACAAGTAAAGGGTTACCATAGGGGCTGGGGCTGTAGCTCAGTGCCAAAGTGCTTGCCTTGCATGTGTGAGACACTGGGTTCGATCCTCATACCACATAAACATAAATAAAGATACTATATGTTTATCTACAACTAAATAAATCTTAAAAAAAAAAAAAAAACAACGGTTAACATAGTTTGAAGATGTCCTCCAAAGCTCACATGTTTTGGTCCCCAATACAGCAATGCTGACAAGAAGGATCTTTAGAAACGAAGGGGTTGGGCTGGGGATGTGGCTCAAGCGGTAGCGCGTTTGCCTGGCAAGTGCAGGGCACTGGGTTCGATCCTCAGCACTGCATAAAAATATAAAAATAAAGATTTTGTGTCCACCGAAAACTAAAAAATAAATATTAAAAAAATTCTCTCTCTCTCTCTCTCTCTCTCTCTCTCTCTCTCTCTCTCTCTCTCTCTCTCTCTCTCTCTCTCTCTCTCTCTTAAAAAAAAAAAAGAAAAAAATGATAGGGTCATGAGGGCTCTGACCTCAGGAGGGTCTTACTGAAATAATGGTCATTGCACGAGTGGCTTTGTTACAAAAACAAGGTCTGACTTGCTTTGTTTCTCCATGCCATAGATGCAGCAAGAAGCCTTCCCCAGATTCTAGCACCATGCTCCTACACTTCCCAGCCCACAGAACCATGAACCAAACCAGCCTTTATCTTGTATGAACGACCCAGTCTGTGCATTCAGTTACAGCCATAGAAAATGAAGTAACATAGGGTACAGGGCTTATTTTTTATGATATGGTGAAAACATTCCAAAATTGACTGATGGCTGGAAAAGTAAGTGGGGGTAGAGTGCTTGCTTCGTATGTGCAAAGCCCAGGATTCCATTCCTAGCACTACAGAAGAGAAAATGACAACAGTCATGGTTGCACAATCCTATGAGTACACTAAAAGCATTGTACATGTTGAAATGGGTAAATTTTATGGAATATGAATTATATACCAATAAAGCTATTCAAAAATCCTTAAGGAGCTCCCCCTTACACCTACAACAAAAGTCACCACTATGCCCTATGAGATCCTATATAATCTGTTCCCTGACATATTCTCTATGCTTTCTCCAACTCTCTCCACATTCCAGCCACACAGGCTGCGTTCCAGGCCGGAGTAAGCCCAGCACTTTTCTACCTCAGAGTTCTCATGCCTGATCCCTTAGCCTCGAAGGCTTTTTCCCCAATCTGCATGGCTCCTTGCACATCACCTCTCTTCAGAGAACCTTTGCCACTGTATCTAAAGGAGCTGCTCCTTATCACCTCTTTGGGCCCCCACCATCACATCATCCTGAAATTATTTTAGGTACTTTCTGTATCCTCCTGGAGAAAGTAACTTCATAAGGGCAGTGACCTTTTCCACAGTATATGCCTAACACCTAGGACTGTGCCTGGCAGCAAGCAGGTACACATTAAGCATTGATGAATGAATAGACAGAGGTCACTGACAAGGGTACCCCAAACTAGGTGGTTCATGAATTTTTTTAAACAAGAGAAGGAATGCACAATGTACAAATGAGAACATTCTCCATAGGATAAATGATTGGACCAAGGACAACTGAACAGGCCTATGTCTTTGAAATCTCAAACTACATGAAATGTAAGGTAAGGTAGAAAACAAAAGGTGGCAGCATAATGTGGTCCTAAGGGCTGTCTTTCAACAACAGACATGACATTTGGTGGCGCTAAGAGTTCCAGACACACTGGCTGATGGGTGCTAAGACTCAGATTAGATGGTCTGGCACATGACTCAGAAGGGGGTATTAGTATTGAAAAGTCCCTATTAGGGGCTGGGGTGTAACTCAGTGATAGAGCACCTGCCTAGCATGCACAGGCTTGGGTTCAATATCTAGCACCATATAAAAAGGCCCCATTAAAAAATAATAAGTTTATTAATTTGGAGTCTGTTTATACTTATCATTTCTTGTCCTGTTACTTTTAGAAATGTTTAATGATTTCATTAAAATCAACATTGTCAATAAATTATTTATTTTCCTGGGAATCAAAGAGGCCACTCACATGCATAAGACTGTGTGCATGCTCAGGAAACACCTAAGGACACTCTAACCTCTTACCTCACATCACATGCAAACATTAACTTCTAAGAGATATATAGTTTTTTAGGTTTATCATCCTTCAGAGTTGATTTTTGTGTGTGGTATAACATAAAGGTCCAACTTCATTCTTTTGCATATGGATAGCCAGTTGTCCCAGCGCCATTTGATGCAGATTGTTCTTTGCCCTTTGAATGATCTTGGCATTTGTGTAAAAACAAATTAACTGGCCATAGATGTCAGGGTTTATTTCTAGACTCTCAATTCTAGTCCACAGATCTCTAAATCTGTCTTTTTACCCATACCACAATACTTTGAATATTGTACATTTTGCATTAAGTCTTGAAGATTTTGAGTCACCTGAATTTCCATATGAATTTTTGAATCAGCTTTTTCATTTCTGTAAAATGTCCAGCTGGAATCTTGGCAGGAACTGTGTTGAGTCTATCAGTTGATTTAGGCAGGTATGTGTGTTCCTTGGGTATGCTTGCCCAATCACAGTCACTCACTCCAACCAAGCCAGTCAAAGAACAACAATGGCTAACACTTGTTATTCACCTGTTCCAAGTACTGTGCTGAATGCTTCACGTGGATCATCTCATCTAATCCTTACAATTATCCCAGGAGGCAGGGATTATTATTATTATTATTAGTAGTAGTAGTAGTAGTAGTAGTAGTATATGAGGAAACTGAGATGCAGAGAAATCACTTGACTTATACAAGGTGACAATCAATTAATGGTAGAGGCTGGGTTCAGACCTAGGAAGGGTCTCACTCCAGAGCCCCCAACTTTCTCAACACAGAATATACAAAGAAATCCTCTAAACTCATTTTGAAAAGATGAGTAGCCAGCAGAAAGATGGGGAAAGGATGTGAACAGACAGTTCATCAAAGAGGAAAATGCAACTGGCCAATAAATATGTAATATGATGCTCTATCGTACTATAATCAGGGGAATGCATAATAAACAATGAGATATTGTTTTGTCTATCATATTTGGAAAATATTGATAAGAAAAATCTAGTGTTGTTGTAGCAGGTCTGAGAAAATAGGTCTTATTACAACAATATCAGTGGCAATACATAATAGCACACCCACTTTGGAATACAATTTGACAAAATTTACTAAGATGTAAAATACACACACACTTTGCCCTAGCAGTTTCATTACACATAGGTACAAAGGACATAGACAAGAATGTTCACTGTAGCCCTATTTGCAATTGTGTAAAAAGGGGGAAAAAACTACATATATGCCAGTGAATAAATGTCATTATTGGCCATGGCCAAATCCATACTACTGGAACGCTAGTTCTAAGAGGCACCAGTCTGTGCTCTATCTCCCTAGTGCCTAAAACAAGAACTGTCACAGAGGTGGCACTCAGATGTTTGCTGAATGCATACTGTAACATACAAAGCAGCAGTCAAAAACAAGCTATATATGTACATATGAAAAAGCCCTGCACATGTAATGAAAACAAAAAAATACCAACTAATCTTTAGAAAAATGTTTATAGAATAAATTGACAGAACAGCACAAAAAAATTAACATACTCCACAGCCTACTGTAGTTCCCTCTTGGGGACATTGTTAGATTTTCTCAACAAAGGACTTTACATATTCATATTTTAAAAATAATATAATTTCTAGTCATGCTTAACCTGATTAAGTGTAATATAGACTACCTATTGTTATTCTTGAGGGTATATATATTCTGAGTGGGTAGTCCCTATTAATCACTACTGTTTGGTTTTAATAGTTTGATTTACTACTCACGCTTTACTGAGGAAGTTTCTTTCAGTGCATCCTCCAGATTAAAATCATCAGAGTCTCCAGATCCTAAAAAGGAAAAGAGAATTTAAAAATTTAACTATCTTTGCATGAAACAAAATAATACTGAAATATTTTCTTGATATAGTAATTTCTCTTTAGAAAATAAAGGGATAAGAAAGGTAAGTCTCTACAAATGAAAACCAATAGTGGGAATAATATGCTTATATTAAACAAAAGACTTTTAAGTCTAATACTATAAAAACAGACAAAGAACAATGCTAATTAACCAAGGAGTTACAATGACTCTAATATATATGCAACCAACATTAGAACATCTCAATTTTTATGGGAAATATTAATAGATATGAAGAGGCTGTAATACAAAAATAGGAGACCCCACTTTTGACATTGGACAGATGAAGTAAACAGAAAATCAATAGGGAAACATTGGACTGAAACTACATTTTAGATCAAATAGATCCAACAATATTATAGAACATTCCATCCAATAGCAAAAAAAAAAAAAAAAATACACATTCTTCTCAAATGCACACAGAATTTTCTCCAGGACAGATCACACATTAGGATACTAAATAAGTTCAAACACATCCAAGAAGACTGAAATCATATCAAGTATCTCTTCTGACCACAAGTGAATGAAACTACAAATCAATAATGGTAGCAATCTTGGAGAACTCACAAATAGACAAAAATTAAACAATATGCTCCTAACTAATCAATAGGTCAAATAAGAAATCAAAAGGAAAATTAAAATGTATCTTGAGACAAAGAAAAGGGGAAACACAGCCCATCAAAACTTATGGGGTGAAGAAAAAGCAGTGCAGTTAAGCAAGAAAAATAAATAAAAGACATTCATATACGAAATGAAGAACTGATAAATTCAGTAGGATTATCGGTTACAAAATAAACACAAAAATATCAGTCACATTTCTATATACTCCAAATAAGTTTTTGTTTGTTTGGGGGTGGCGGTTGTACTGGAGATTGAACCCAGAGGTACTTTACCAGTGAGTCACACTCCTGACCTTTTTTTTTTTTTTTTTGAGGTGGGGGTTACTGAAGATTGAACTCAGGGGCACACGACCACTGAGCCACATCCCCAGCCCTATTTTGTATTTTATTTAGAGACAGATCTCACTGAGTTGCTTAGCACCTTGCTTTTATATAGGCTGGCTTTGAACTTATGATACTCCTGCCTCAGCCTCCTGAGCTGCTTGTATTACAGGCATGTGCTAGCGCACCTGGCATCCTGGCCTTTTTAATTTTTAGACAGGGTCCTACTACATTGGTTGTGGCCTCACTGATTTGCTGGGACTGGCCTCAAATTCTAAATCCTCCTGCCTCAGCCTCCCAAGTCAATGGGATTATAAGCATGTGCCACTGCACCTGGCCTAAGTAAGTTTTAAAAAATTGAAAACAATCCTAGTTAACTATCATTAAAAACACTTAAGATGATGGGCATGGTGGCACAAGTCTGTAATTCCAGCTATATGGGAGACTAATGACAGTGAATTGCAAGTTTGAAGTCAACCTGGGCAACTTAGTGAGAACTTATTTTAAAATAAAATTTAAAATAGTACTAGGAAGTTCTGTATATGTAGCTTGCTTGGTATATGTGAGGTCCTGGGATATAGCTCAATAATACATTACTTGCCTAAGTAAGTAAGGCCCTGAGTTCAATTTCAGTACCCCCAAAAAAAAAAAAAAAACAACTCTTAGGAATAAATTTAACCAAGGAAGTGAAAGATCTATACAATAAAATCTGAAAAAAAAATGGAATAAATTGAAGGACACATAAATAATTGGAAAGATATTCCATGTTCATGGATAGAACACTTAATATTGGTAAAGTGTTCATACTACTCAAACATTCTACAGATTGAATGACATTCCTATCAAAATTCCAATGTCATTTTTCACAAAAACAAAACAAAAAAAAAAGAATCCTGAAATTTGTGTGAAATCACAAAAGACCCTAAATTGCCAAAGTAATCTTGAGGAAAAAGAACTAATATGGAGGCATTATACTCACTGTTTTCAAAATACAGCATCCCTACCTAAAAATCTGAAATCCAAAATGCTCTAAAATTGTAAGAGTACACTCCTCCAACAAATATTTTGCTTGCAGTCCCAGCCATTCCTTTACTGCTTGTCAATATATCCTGCCACATGCCATTAGCTAAAGAGTTAAGAGCAACATAACACAATTTTGTAGTATTATTAATCCTTCAATGACCTTGGATTCAACAGATACTAACCATTTATGGATAAAACCATTCAATCTCAAACTACATTCTGAGCTATGAAGACTTCTTCAAAGCTTTCAAACAGGGGCTGAGGTTGTGGCTCAGCAGCACAGCACTTGCCTAGCACGTGCAAGGCCCTGGGTTTGATCCTCAGCACCACATAAAAATAAATAAAACAAAGGTATTGTGTCCACATCAATGTTTATAGCAGCACAATTCACAATAGCTAAACTGTGGACCCAACCTAGATGCCCTTCCGTGGATGAATGGATAAAAACAAAAATGAAGCATATATACACAATAGAATTTTCATTAAGAGAGAATAAAATCATCACATTTTCAGGTAAATGGATGGAGTTAGAGGAGATAATGCTAAGTGAAGTTAGCCAATCCCAAAAAAACAAATGCTGAATGTTTTCTCTGATATAAGGAGGCTGAGGGGCTGGGGATGTGGCTCAAGCGGTAGCGCGCTCGCCTAGCATGCGTGCGGCCCGGGTTCGATCCTCAGCAGCACCACATACCAACAAAGATGTTGTGTCCGCCGAGAACTAAGAAAAAATAAATAATGTTAAAATTCTCTCTCTCTCTGTCCCCCTCTCTCTCACTCTCTCTTTAAAAAAAAAAAAAGGAGGCTGATTCATAGTGGGGAAGGGAGGGAGAACATGGGAGGAATAGATGAACTCTAGACAGGGAGAGGGGTGGAAGGGAAAGGGAGGGGGCAGGGGATTAACAAGGGTGGTAGAATGTGATGGACATCAATGTCCAAAGTACATGTATGAAGGCTCGAATTATATGTCAACATACTTTATATACAACAGATATATGAAAAATTTTGCTGTATATGTGTAATAAGAATTGTAATGCATTCTGCTGTCATTTATTTTTTTAAATCAATAAAAAGGTATTGTGTCCAACTATAACTAAAAAGTAAATATTTTTTTTAAAAAAAGCTTTCAACCAGGGCCAGGGGTGTAGCTCAGTGGTACAGTGTTTGCCTGGCATGTATTAGGCCCTGAGTTCCATCCCTAACCCTGCAAAAAGGAAAATAATCTTACAACCAATAACAGCTACTAAATCCAAGACAAGAACAAATACTCTTATAAAGATATTATATCTCAATTTTTTTTCAAATAGGTTCATATTCTATAGCCCTTTTGTGCCACCCAAAAGTACTCAGCTTGGGATGGAGACAAGAATCCCACAAGTTCTCTCTTTGGCACCAACATACTTTAAAAAGCAACTGATCCATCCCAGGCTGTTCAAAACCTCCAATCCCTGTATAAGTAGGTAGTATTCAACTTATCTCATTCCACTTCAGAGAGTCACAAAGAGTTTCTTTTAAATGAAACAATTACACAGTGAACTGGTGATACCTGTCTGGAAATTCTTTTCAAACACAGCAGAACTTTAAAAATGTTCCCTCACAGACTTTTATGTGTCCTTGAGAAGACCTATTGAATAAGAAAAGTGCTGGTTCCACCCACAGACACCTCCAGCAGCCAAGGTTTGCCTTCAGAAGATTATGTCCCTTTGGAAGGGAACACAAACTTGACCTCATATTGCAACCTGACCCACCACCACTGGCATCTGAAGCTAAGTGTGCATTTTAATGAAGGCTATAAAACAAGACACAGCCAGTCCTTATAAGAAAATTGTATCATGACCTGGCAGTGAGCCATAACCTGCCAAAGCTTTGATAGAATGTCTGATCCTTGAGAGACACCATCTAATGGGCCCTTAAGTAGCTTTTCATTTAGATTTGATTAATCACTCCCTCCTTTGTTGTTTGCACACCCATTCCAGCTAAGTGTTTATGTGCATCTTCTCCCTAGACCTGCCCTGTTCAACATGGTAGCTACTAGCCACATGTGGCTATTTATAATAAAATTAATTAAAATTCAGTAAATATTTAAAATTTAGCTCCTTACCTGCACTAATCACATTTTAAGTGCTCAATAGCCACATGTGACTGGTGACTACTGGGTTGAACAACACAGAGAACATTTCCACCTTATAGAAAGTTCCATAGGACAGCATTACCTTAGACAGTGAGCTGTTTGGAGCCAAGGCAGGGACTTGGTAATCTCCATAGCAATGCTAAATACAGACCTGGCAGCAAAGAAGCATCTCTATAGGTCTGTTCATTTGCATTACCCAAACTCTGGCTCCATTCAGGGACAGGATCTCTGATCTGTTTCTAGGAATTCACAGTCCACAGTGCCTGATAATAATTTGTGACAAATCCATATATCTGCATAGGAATGTGTCTGCTGCCTACTGCTGGATGAAAAACTGCAAAGATTTCAGAGACAAAGTCAGGATTCAAGCAGGGAGATTGGTGCCTCTCAAGTGACCAGTGACATCCATCCACCTGCTTTCTAAGGATGGATTCTATTCTACCTTTTCCCTTTATATATGCAAGCAATTTTCATTCAGTTCTTTTGGAAGAGGGCCCAGTATAAATCCTAAATGAATATATATTCACCTGAACTGCTTCAGTTTTCAAGATTTTAAAATCTTGATCCTTTTCCAAGGATATGAATAAGGAAGAATACCAGGGACATCTTAGTCTGGTAAATCACAGATGTGTCATCTCAGATTTTCCATTTGTCTGCTTTACTAGTGGTTCCATAAATACTCACACTATATTTAAGTGTGCCCAGGAAAGCCATGATACTACTCATCTGTCTGTCATCTGGGCTAGCATCTGTGTCTAAACAATTCCAAGGGCATGAAGCTACTTATTAAAAAGGAAACAGACTTGTCAATAGGGAGAATACCAACTAATGCAAAGAAAGC